ATATTTACTAAAGCTTTTGACTTTTCATGATGTAAAGTTTTACTGTTACAAGGTTGGCCAAATTCACTTAATCTATATACAGATAATTTAATATATTAATGTCTAAAAATATTAAACTAATCAAAATTAGGGTTTGCAATTATTAGAATTTTTGATTATTCCAACCATCCAAGTAATCAAAATATTGCTATTATGTTTGTTGTTAAGCACGAAGCTACACAATGGATTATCTGTGCTCTGCCTACCATATGTATCAACACCTAACTTTTTTCTGTTATAAGTTATTTTTCTTAACCATCTCATGAGAATAATTGATTAGTTGAATGGAATAAATTAATGAACCCAACAATTATCTAATTAGCAAATTCCACAAATCACCTAGCTTTAGTTCCAATAATGTTTTTTTAAAATCAAAAATAATCATTCTGTCTTGGCAAGACTAATGCATTATTGTGTCAGCTTCAGTAAAGTACATTTTGTAATCCAGTTCATTATACAATGATATCAATAATGGTAAAAATCAGAGATAAATGAAGCTGCATAACCAGAATGCTTTTAGAATATTTCTTAAACTCTATAAAAGGAAGGTTTATTATACAGATGTATTTGGATTATCAGTGTCAATATGATAATTGTACTAAAATTATATTATCATTATATTATAGGAAAAACAAATGTATCATTGTTCAATAGGCAGTTTTTTAAGGTAAAGTTTCACCATTGAGACCAACCCTGACTCTAAAGTCTTTACATCCTTTCATAAGCACCTTATTAGATAGAGTAACTCAATTTATATGAATGATGTTCCAGGTTCTGTGCTGCCCTTGAAACTACTACTTCCATCATTGATTATATTCAGTCTGATACATGACTATGCACTATTTCCATACACTGTAATTCTCATAGTAATAGATTTATGTGAATGACAGTGAAGCAAATCTTTAGAATACACATCTATACAACTCTTCCACAAGCTCCTGTAGTACAAGGACATGTACTTCTGAAACCACTTAAGCTGACCAAAACCAACAGCCATTGGAAATTTAAATTAGGGAATTGATAGGTATGTAGTCAAATGAGATTGCTATAATTTAACATTGCCCATATCTGCAAACTGGGTAACCTCATGTTGCTCAGAAAAAAATAACCCATTGCAGAAATAGGTTTTTTTTGGTATCCTTTTTTTTAACAATATCATTTGCCAAAATGAGGTTGAGTTAGCCTGTTTTTAGCTTCATTGGACCATTGGCTGCTCCAAGTTAAAGGATTGAATTTGCTGATGACTGCTTCAATGATCTTTGAAACATTGGCAATTCTAGTTCAAAATGATACTTTTTTCTTATAAATAAAGAAGGCTTAGATGTTCAAAATGCTTAGCATGCTCTCTTTGTGGTTGTGAATGTGATGTATTTTCAATTTCTACTAAATTGAATCAGAGACATGGGGTAAAACAGACAAAAATGTGTATTGGCAAGTACTAATAATACAACAAATGGTATGAAACGATTATGCTCAAATTATAATGAGAATATTGTGAATATCAACAATGAAGTTGTACATGATGAAAATAATTATATGGATTTTACTGATAATAATGTTTTGGCCTTAAATGGAGATAATGATGATGGAGGTTATGATGACAAAGGAAGTGATTAATACATAATGAAAGAATGCAAAAATGTACATATCAGTTATTTTTAGAAGAGATATTTCCTTGACAAGAAATTTTCAAAGTCAAAAATCATGTGAAAATGACTCCTTCCTTTAATTCTATTGATAAAGCAAGTCATATCATTACCTTCAGCTTAATATAGGAAATCAAACTGTAAACTACGGCAGAGAAACCAAAAAAAATCATCTCCAGTAACAAGTTAAAGAAAAATAAAATTGAAGTACAATCAAAACTTCATTGACCTCCTTCCCATTGCATTTTGCCACCCAATAATTTTCTCAAAATATCTTGAAGTTTTTGAAAGTAATATTTTCTAAAATCAGGGATGAAACCCTTTGATACAGCTATTCTGTAATTTTTCAACTGATTCCAATAAAAGCATTAAAGTTAGTAGCATTATGATCACTAGTATCCATATGTTCTTGCATAACTACATTTCTGACTACAGTATATTCAGCTCCTAATACTTAGGAATATTTTTCAGTAAAAAAGTTTTGTTTACACGTATAACCCTCCAACATTAAGTCCACCTATAGCATTGTAGTGGTGAATGGTAAGGAATTTGTCATAAACCAAATGTATGAGTGCTGTATTGGCATATATACAAATTGTTCAAATAAAGAGCACTTACCCTTCTGCATAGGGAAGATGCCATTTTAGAACATGTTCTTTTTATTTTTATTACGTTTGAAAATTGTGGGGTCAATGTCTTGTTCAGTATAGCTAGAATTGAGGAGCTGTGTGTTGAAAAAGCCAGGTAAATATAGAATTTAAGCTGACAGAGGCTCACAAGCCAAAATTTACAAGATTAAAGCTACCTCTCAAAGTAAATGTCTATTTTAATAGGAAGATTGCCAAAGAAACTAGAATTATAGCAATCCCATTCAACTGATGATTATTCTCATGTGAATTAGTTGGAATATTCAAAAACAGTAATTATGAAAAACATTAATTTTTATTACATTATTTTTATCAGTTGTGACACTAATAAATTAAGCTGAACAACTCTGAATCAATCAAAAAGAAAAAAATCACAGTGGAATTATTTCAATTAATTGTATGGTTAGAATAATCAAGACCAGTAATAACTGAAAGCCCTAAATTTGATTACTTGATTACTTTCATGATACTAATCAATCAAATCACATCACTATTTTACACGATACTAATCTATGTAATTGATGCTCATAGGTAATTGATTATACTCACTAAATTAATTGCCCAGCACTATTGGTAAGGTAGATTAATATTTAGTAAATGACATTTAAGTGTTATAAATGCAAGGTAATACATATAGGTTATCATAATTTGGAGCAGAATATTTAAAATAGACGGAAACCAACTCAACAGTAAGAATGAAGAAAAGAATCTTAGCAAAGTAGAAGATAGGTCACTCAAGTCAAAGAAGCAATGTTCTGTTGCTATAACTATTAGACAATCTAATAGAATTTTAAGGAGTATTTATAGACATACTCATACTGAATACAAGTCAAGAGATGTAATTAATTCTATAGAAATCAATAGTCAAGCCTCACTTAGAATAATATGTAAATGTTTGGTCTCATTACCTAAGAACAATATTGACTTATTGAAAAGGGTCCTGAGGAGGACTACTAGGTTACCTTACCAGAATAAGTAAGACTTCTTAACTTATTTTTTTCCAGAAAACAAGGGTTAAAGGTGATCTTATTGATGTTTATCCAGAGGATCTACAAGATTAAGGCCTCTGACTCTTTTGTGTTACATTCTAAAGATAACAGTATAAATTAAGATTTGGAAAAGATGGAGTTGGCTCAAGTTAAGACAGTTTTATTTATCTAAGGGGGTGATCGACTTATGGAATGGGTTGCCATCATCAATGGTGGAGGCCAGCACTTTATAGAGGATTAAGACTAAGAGGGGAATTCATAATTTCCTGAAAAGTAAAGGGGTGAGTTAAAGTGTTTTATTTTTCCCAAGGGTGAGTGTATAAAAACAACTGTGAAAGACCAAATGGTTCCTTGTTGTGCATGTTATGAAAATGTATCACAAAAACTATTCCACAACTTTAATTGAAAAAGATTCTGATGAGGAACAAGTCTGCATGTAGACTTCTAAAGCTTTAATGTGTTACTACCAGATATCCAAGTTTGTACTTCCAGTCTTTTTGTTCCACCAAAAAAACAGACCAGTCTAAAAAAAATATTATAAACTGTTTTTAATCTCCTGCACAAGAATCAAGACCCCTGCATTTTTCATAAGTTCTAGAAAAAGAAATTCAAAACTTTAAACCTTTTCTTGTTCCTTAAATGACTTGAACCAGGCATCTTTTAAGTGGTATGTCTCAGTACTATTTCAAGCACTGAAAATAGAAACCTAAAATCCCACATACCATCTGACTCTTATACAAAGTTAAATAACCTTTTTGTTCCCAAGATCAAAATTCAAATTAACAGAATCAAGAATGCTATTTGCTCTTATAACCACGGCTAAACAGTCTTTAGTTTGTTATAAACAAGCACACTTGAACGTACCCCTCTTTCTATAATAACAACGTATGCTAACCTTTATGACTAAGAATGTAAGAATATTGTATTTATTTTATAAAACTAATTACTAGGTTAATATTTTGTTCAGATATACATAGTTATCTTTTTTTATCAGAAGTTAACATTTATATAATTTTCAAAATTTAAACAAGTTTTTAATAGTATTTTTCTTTGTTTATAGATCTTTTTTTGTTAATATCAAATTTTTATGTTAAAAATGTTCTGAATAAACTTACACTATGTGGCAACAAAATGATTAGAAATAAAACTGTGTTGAAAAAGACAGTTAAATATGGATTTTACGTTGACAAAGGCTCAAAAGCGAAAATTTAAAAGATTCAAGCTACACCTCAAAATCAGTGGCTGTTTTAATGGGAAGATGACCAAAGAAACCAGATTACAGCAATCCCATTTAAATAATTAACTAATGTTAAGCACAAAAATACACAATGGCATATTTGTGCAGAAATTAAACTGAAACTTTAAACAAGAACTACATCAAAACAAATACACGAGATAAAAAAAACTTAAAATGTACAACAGAAAATAAATAGCTTCTAACAATAAAAAATAATTAAGACTACAACTACTAATAACAATTAAATTTAAAGCCTCCAACAATAATACTTAGTACTAGTAATAACAATAGTCAAAGTACCATATTTTAAAGTAAATTTGTTATATATTAATGCAATTGAAAAACTGGCTACGATTTCAATGTACTTGTTACAACTTACAGTTAATAAAGGAATAGATATGATTGTGCTTTATGGATAATTAAGAATTTTAATCAAACTTACATCTTACTGAGTGAAAAGCAGTGTTTCCACTATTTGTAAAGCTTTTCCCAAGTCGCAATTCTCGAACTTCGTTATCCAGACCTAACCTATCTGTTATGCTAGACATGACAGAATCCACTACTAGCTTGCCAAATTAGGCCTGTATAAAATAAACTTTACAAAGCAGGTTATCAAACATATACCAAACAGCAGTTTGCAAAGGAAAGTTTAGCCTAACTGTTTAAATTTCACTAATATATACTTTTTCTTTTTAATTTATACTAATAATAGCAATGGTCTTCTGAAAAAGTGGAATATTTGTAAACTGGAAAAAATTACAACCAAATTTACGATATTATATAAAACTAAATTTTAGGATACCGTTTTCATGGGTACAAGACCCAAGAAACAATAACCTATTTTAACAGTACAAATTTCATGCCACACACAAAACGCAAAGCCAAAACTCACACGTCGCGTATAATCCAGATTTCCTTTAAATAAAAAGACACACGAGAGAAATACGCATGCGTTGACATAATCTTATTTCCGCCTCCGTTGTCGTCTGCTGTCGATTTTGTATATTTATATTTGCATTGCTCCAAATAAATTAATCTTTTACAGAAGAGACTTTAAAATTTAGAATAACATAACGTAAACTATAATGTGTGAAATCTGTTAAGCAAGAAAATTAAATTATAACATTAAAAAATTAAGGATTGTTTATGTTAAAGTCCTACGGTCGAATTGCGCATTTCATGTTGTTAACGCTACCTGTCGGATATTTTATGATAATTAAAGTCTCAAGTTACCACTCATTAGTATTTCATTTTATTAATGAATCGAAAAACATAAACGTTGTTTGGTAGCGTCCTAAAATTCTGTTTCATAAAATTCTCAAGTAATTTATCAAAAAATATAGATGAACACAGTTTCCGTGACAACACATTTCTAATAGATAAAGCGTGTAAAAAAAATCTTTCTAGAAAATACATTTGTATGTAAATATCAAGAATTAAATTTCAACAAATATTAATTACACTTACTAAATGTTGCCATAAAATCAACTGTCTTTTCCTTCCAAGAATATTATTTAACCTTTAACTTACATATATATAACTTTCAACTGTTTGATTGTTGCTGTCTTCTTAGAGGAAAGCTACATAATGGACGGGCCCACTGCCAACTCTTGGGCTACTCTTTTACCAACGAATAGTGGGATTGACCGTCACATTATAACGCCCCCACGGCTGAAAGGGCGAGCATGTTTGGTGGGATGGGGATTCGAACCCGCGAACCTCAGATTGCGAGTCGAGGGCCCTAACCACCTGGCCATGCCGGGCCTACAATAAATCGAAATTAGACAGACAGACTAATTTACAATGAGCAAGCTATATGTAATTCTTGATGCATAACACAACACTAAAACATTACATTCATAGTATCGAAAGAACATGTTGCAAAGAACAAAAATCTGGTTAGGATTTACTTTTGAGCAGTTGTTGTTTGTTGATTTTCGCGCAAAAGCTACTCGAAGACTATATACGCACGCTAGCCGTCCCTAATTTTCAAGTGATAGACTAAAGGGAAAGCATATAGTCAACACCTCCACCGCAAACTCGTGGGCTAATTTATTAAATATTGAGAATTGGCTGTCACTTTTTTAATGCACCCATGGCCCCAAAGTGTGGAGCGCTATTTCTTTTTGGCGGTAAAGGGGCACGTACAACGGAGCCTCGGATTCATAACTTTTGATTAGACTTGAGTGTGAATTATATAAAAAACGAAGCACTGCGATATTTACTTCTGCTTTAATACGTGTTACGATGCACTGTTTTCTTTAAAATAAGCCTTAAACTTTGTACGTGCTTATAGTTTCAAAAATACCTGAAAGAATTCAGTATTATCCAATCCTTTTACAAGTCTCTTCTATCTCCATGATTTATTCAAACTGATCCAAAAATAACATTTGATAAATGTACAGATTAACAAAATCTGTTTGAATTAATTAAGTTTAAAATTAAAAGTAAAATAGAATTATTACTAACTGCTTTGTTCGCCCACACTCCGATCAACAAAGATTGAGATCCATAACTGAGATGTATTTTTATAAAATTATAAAGTTAAGCGACAAAGCTTACAGGCAAATAGCTCTATGTAGTCAGATAACAGCCTTGCGATTAAGTATTTTACTCTGTAATTTAACCAATAAAAATGAAGATATGCACAAGACAATTCCGCCCTTTCGTATGCACGTCAGAACAAGGACCTAAACAGGATATCGCATCCTTTACCACTGCACAACAAACCAATGAGAAAAAAAACATCATCATACATGATCGCTCAACTTTAAACTGCCTGAATATAGAGGTAAACCATTCAAATTAAACCAAACTGTTTTTTAACTTTGAACATAAAATGTAAAAATCAGTGGTGTCCACGAGTGAGGACAGAAAAGTGTAACTCTTGTTTGAAGAGGGTAAATTTTCATTTTTCCTTGCTTCGCTTTCATATCTCCAGTGCTTCGCTAAATATGATTTGTCTCTCGACTATTAATCTCTCACTGTAGCTTGTTTTGTTTCATTACTAAAAATAGAGGGACTCTTCGAAGACTTATAAGATGGTGGACACAACAGGTGAAAATTAAGTTGTGGTACCTATTGACAGAGGTACCACATTAATACAGCTGTTACGTCTCCGTTTGTTAATTGATTTTCCGTAACTTCGTTCCGACGAAACTTAAGCGACACAAGTCCTTTCTTAATAAAACGGGTTTATTCTTTCCGAATATAACTTTACCGATACACTCAACTTCAACAATCGCGCTAAACAAACGCTGTAACGTCTCTCGTGCTCTCTGACTGCAGTTCAATTACTCACTGTCTATACACACATTACCGCGTCACGTTGTCCCCCTCCTATATATACCCGACAACCCTATATTCTAGTAAATACTAGAGCATTCGCCAAAGTACAGGATAGTTCTAGAAACGTGGCGTCACTGTAGTCATGTGACTCGCTGACGCAACACTGCCCCTCCTTAATATCGTTCGTCCT